CCCCTCAATCACTGGAACATGATGGTCACGGGCATTGATAGCAGGAACATGAACACAAAATTTTGGGGACTTACTGATGTAACGTCCTTGTGGTTGTTCGTCGTTCCCGTTTCTGCCCCTGTCCCGATGCCGGTCATTTGCGTTTCATCCGCCAAATCGTCTGCCGTGGTTCTGGGGACGTTCGCGTTGCCGGTGCACTGGGTTTCTCTGATCGATTGGGATGGTGGGGGTCGGTGGTTGTTGTGGTTCTCCTTCCTCGTCGCTCGGTCAATCGCTTCCGCCATGGTGGTGGCTGGAGCGTCGTCGAATGACTCTACCGCGGCCGGTGACCTTACCCCATCCATTGAACGAACTAGCCCGAGTTGCTCCCGGGTCTCTGCGTCGAAGTGGGGAAAAGCCTGCTCTGCGAGTCTGTGTAGCTCCGTCGCATATTGCCGGGCGGTTTCCGTTGACCTTTGAACACAGTACCGAAAAGAGTTACGGAACTCTCGTAGCGGCCTGGGCGGGGCCAGTATAGTTCGTAGCCTTTGGAAGGTGATATCAGTTACTTCCTCGGGTTCGACTTTCCTGTATATCTGGTCGTACACCTCACCATCGACGAGTGACAACAAGATGTACCTCTGGATTCTCGGGGACCAAAGCTGTAGGTAGTCGCGGACCTGTGAATCCCACCGATCGAAGTTGTCGCCCATGTGAAAATTCTCCGGCGGCGGGATGGCCACTGGCACGCCAAATGACGGTTGAGCTGCTGTGACGGAAGTGGATTCTTCGCGTAGCTCAAGCTTTCCGTGACTTTTCGGCATTATCTTCATCCCACCACTGTCACCAACTTTGTAATGCAGGGGCGCCTGGGTCTGAAATGGTCAACAGAACAGTTAGTCACAGACAAACGGCGACCACAACAGCGGTTACGTGACGGTCGGTCGAGCAGAAGACGAAGTCGAGGGCGGCCAACGTGTATTGTCACGGAAGTATATGCAGGTGTACAAAAACCGGATGCGGAAGTCGAAAAAAGGGGGGACAGTCTGGGTATTTATATACAATAGGGGGTCAAGGCCATCACGGGGGGTCGCAAGTTCGTGAGTTGGTTTCGTCAACGGGCTGGTCGGGCTTGTGGGTCAGGGCATCTGGAATGCAGAACAGAGAGAGAATGTGAAGTATACAGGGTCATTTCACCGCTGCATTTTGAACCATTCCATCTGCTGCGTTAAACTTTTAGAAAAACCACGGATATGAAGACTTTCCAAGACTTGTTTATTTTTAGTTTTAAAATCAATTCACTTCAGTAAAAATGCTGTTGCCCATACGAAGAGACAAGTTTTTCACAGGGACCTGTAGCTTCAGTTTTGATCAGACCTGTATCTTTGAGAAAGCCGTGCTGGGCAGGGCTAAGCAATCTATATCGAGTGACGTGCTCACAGAGAGCTTTACTAACAATGCTTTCTAAACCATACACAGCACGCTGGTCAAACAAGGAGTCTGTAGTTACCAGGTTGCCTCCTACCTCCACTCTTGTGGATGGCTACCGCTGTGGCAGTTGCCCAGTCACTGTGTACTCGCTCAGCCCTTAGGTACTCCTGGTAGAGTGCGGTTATCGCAGGGGCAAGCAAAGAATCTTCAATCATTCAAGTGGCTAGTCTTTGAACTTTATCCAAACAGGCTTCACCCCTTTTGAAGAAGCCTGCAAGCAGCATTCCAAGTGCGGTCTAACTATTGCTTTGTACAGAATGAGGAATAGGTCGGGAATCCCACACGATAGTCCTGACTTGAGCATAGATGGCTCTCTCTTCTGCCTCATCGCAGTCAGTACACACTGGTTATCCCACCAAAATCTGCCGCTACCGATAGTCCTGAGTCTCTACTGGTTCTAACAATCGGTGCGGTGAAATCCCTTCCACCTATTTGGATTGACAATTGTTCATCGGCACGGGAGGATAAATTACCTATTTTGCACTCAGAGTGGGGTCTCAAACTGTTGCTTATTCCGTTGCTACGCAGGTCACTCTACAATTGTTGTAGACTGGTTGATCCCACTATCCCACTATCATCTGCAAAGATGAAGCATGGCGAACGTAGGGTGGCAGCCAATTCGTCTATAAAAATGAGGAACAGAAGTGGACCAATCACTGAGCCCTGTGGTACCATACTAGTGCCTATGGTTTTGGCTGATACTTAGTCTCCAATCCTTACGTAAAACGTACGACCGGTCAGAAATTCCCTGATCCAGTTACGTGCTNAAAAGTCTAAATAACAGACTTTCACAGCTTTACCCTAATCTAACCTCGAGGTTATTTCACGTGAAAAACGCAGTTATTTAGACGAGCATGATCTAACCTCGATAAACCCATGCTGCTGATGGGTAAGCTGCGAGCTTCGGAGTAAATG